TCAAGCATTAGGACAACGATCGTCTATTCACGCATGATTCTGCAGCTTGCGAGCTGGCCGGGCTTCGTGGCGTCAGCTGGGCCTGGAATGTCCGAGGTGGCGTCTCAGCCGGGCCGGCTCGCTGTGTGGCATCTCCAGGGGGCTAGTTTGGGCTTCCGCACAGCGTGGGTCTCAAGGTACTTGGACTTCTCACTTTGCAGCTGGCTTCTCCCGGAGCACAAAGGTGGAAGCTGCCAGGCCTTGATACAGGGGCTCAGCAATCACAGGAAGTCCCTGTTACCATGCTCCATTGATCAGAGGCCAGCCCACGTTCGGGGGGAATAGCCTCTACTTCCCGTTGGGCTGGGGGAGTGGCCAGTTCACTTCGCAAGTGAGAATAGGACATGCAAGATACTGTTGTGGCCACCTTTGGACAATGGCATCTGTCAGGTCCAGCATGTATGAGAGAAGGGTGGGGATTAATTTCCCTGGGACCATCCTTTTTCCCTTTTTATTTTTTAGAGACAGGGCCTTGCTTTGCCACCCAGCCTGGAGTATAGGGGCCCAGTCATAGCTCACTGTAACCTTGAACTCCTCAAGGTTCAAGGGCTCAAGTGATCCACTTCAGCCTTCCTAGTAACTGGTACTACAGGCGCATGCTGGCCTGCCTGTTCTTTTTATTTGTAGATGTGGGGTCTTGCTATGTTGCCCAGGCTGGTCTCAAACTCCTGGGCTCAAGCGATCCTCCTGCCTGGGGCCTCCCAATGTGCTGGGATTACAGGTGTGAGCCACTGTGCCCAGGCTCCCTGAGGCCATTGTTAACCAATGAGGGTGGGAATCAATGGGTAAATGCTGAAAGTTCCTGTCCTGCAGGGTGTAATCTACAGGTTCTTCAGAGCAGCCCCAGCAGGATCAAGTCCCAGTTGCCCACAGTGGAACTCCGCTCAAAAATGTACCTTCCTTGCCTCTTCCTCTTTCCCTATCTTTATCTCCACCTCCTTTTCTGCTGCTTCTGACCATGTCCTGGTTCTAGCCTCAGGCTTTGTTTTCCTGGGAAACCAAACCAAGACATTCAATTACCTCCTTTGAAAAAGCCGTTACACTGGGGCTTGTAAAATGCTGCACCCGGCTCCCGGGCTGTTGAGAGATCCGACCCAGGAACGGGTGTGCGAGGGCTGCGCACACTGGGGCCGGGCCTGGTGCGAAGGCTCACTGTGCACAGAGGGCCCCTGAGGCAGTCCAGGGGATCCGCAGCCCCTCCATGAGAGGCCCAGCCCCCCCAGCTCCCCGGGTCATGTGGGAGTGGGAGAGGTGAAGGCAGGGAGGTGGGGCAAATGCAAAAGGAGGTGCAGATGACTAGGGGATAAATTAGGTGTACTGTGTCCTGGTCCTGCCCTTTGGATCCAGGTGACTTGGCACAACATGAGGTGACTCACCGGGCCACCTCAGCCTGCAACAAGGCCCCTCAGGATCTTCCACCTGGCCCTGCTGGGACTCGCCCTTGCGGAACAAGCATTGCCCCCCGGTTGGGCCTCTGCCCCAGGAACAGAGGGACTGAATTACCGATGGGAGGGGCCGGGACTCTGGGCCGTCCACTCTCCACTTAGCAGCCCGGACAAGGTCGGAAGGTGAACAAGCCCCTCCCTGCTACCCCCAGCAGCTCCCAGTCAGGGGAGGGGGCGAGAGGCCAGGGGACAGGGAACTTGAGCAGCATCATAGCAGCTTGGTCAGACTGAGGCAGGCGCTCTGGAGCACAGAAGGGCACCTGACCCGGAATCCAGGCGGGGGCAGATAAGTGTGGACGTCTTCCCGGAGAAGCTGATGTCCACTTCTAATCCCAACAGGTCTTAGGACTTCAACAGGAGAAAGGAAGGAAGGGAATCAGGGCAGAGGAAACAGCATGGGCAAAGTGGCTGGAGCCCAGATGGGGCTCGGGGGTAAAAGAGGAGGCTGGAGAGAGAGGCAGGAGCCAGGGAGAGCAATGGGGAGCCCCTGAGAGTTTAAAACAGGAGAGAAATGGGTCAGATTTGAGTTTAGGACAAATCCTGCTTGTTGCAGTAATAGCCAGGTGGAAAGGGATTCAGGATTAGAGGCAGGGAGACCAGCTAAGGGGGCTCATTCATTCATTCAGCAAATATGTGTGTGGCCCCTCCCAGGCACAAGACCCTGTGCTGTCCAGCTGAGGACCCGGTGCCCTGGACCAAGGTGATGGGGGCCAGGATGGATAGGAGGGGCAGAGGTGCTAGGGAGAGGCTCTCACTGTGTCACACAAACATCCCGGCAATCTGCAAATAGTCCTCTGGCTCCTGGACCAGTTGTGCATGAATTTGGAAATTAGGAACCCCAGGGGCCACACCCAGGGCCCTGCAGCCCGGCCTGCCTGTCCTTCCTCACGGCTCTACCCTGGGCTCAGGAAAGTCTCAGATGTCATCATGGCTGGTGCTAGCCTTGCCTCGCCCCTTCCAGTCAGGGGTGAAACCCAAACTTCCAGGACACATGGGAAGTCAGAGGCCCAGCTGGGGCGCCAGAATCTCTCTGGGTTCCCCTCCCCGGCAGCTCAGACTGCTCCAGGGCGGGAGCTGTCTCCTACCGCCATCAGACTTCGGGTTCTCTCCCTACGTCTCCCATCTCAGACTGGAAACTTCCAGAGGGTAGAATGAGGAACAGGAATGCAAGTCAGGGAAGCTGTTTTGCTGCCACTCAGTTGTTTGAACTTGGGGGAAAAAAATCCTGTATTTGCCTCTCCGTTTGTAGAATGGGATTAATATTAATGTCTGTTATGAGGGCTGAAAGACATGAAGATTAAAGAGACATTAAAGAGTCTTGATTCCCAAATCTCAGCCCTAAAGAAAAAAAGAAAAAGAAAAAAGAAATTTAAAAATAAAAAAAAAATAAAAATAAAAGAGTCTTGAGGGACATAAACAGGGCATAAGTACCATGGCACAGACCGTGAAAAATGGCTAGACATGACAGCAGAGAAAAGGAAAGACTGTCAGAGCCATGAATGCGGGGATTTCGTCCATGCATGCAGGTGGCATTCCAAGTGCCTACAACAGAGCCTGGTACATAGCAGGCGCTCCCTAAGCACTGATGGAGCAAACTCATGGAGAGTGCAGGTGGTGCTGGCTTCCCGCTAGGACAGGAAGGCCGGGACCGGGGCCTGGGGGATGGGCCCACTGGAGTAGGAGTGTTGCCTCCACGTGAGGGCCCCAGGGAGTCTGTGGGTCTCACTTACCCGGTTCTCTTGGACCTGGATTATAAATAAATCAGTGGCTCCCACAAAAGGATGTCCCTGCCAGGGTCCTCTCCAGTGACTTCCCAGCCACCTGGGGCCAAGCTCACCTGCCTCCTCCACCTCCTACCTGCCCTCCAGCTCTCCAGCACCATCCTGGGATGCTCGCCACGCCCCACGGCACCCCTCCTCTGCTCACGACCCCACAGGAACGTGGGACCTCCTGGGCCCACTCTTTGCTCCAGCTGCTGTCCCGCCTCCCCCACCTTCCACCTTTCACTCAGAAAGCTCCAGACTGAGCTCTACAGTGACCCTCCAAGGCCACACCTCCACCCCAGCCCTCAGCTTGTGCTCTCAGCCTGCAGTCAGCTGTGTGCCCTGGGACAGTCACCTTCTGAGCCCTCCTCTCAACGGTAGACGGACCTGGGCCGTGGGTGCTCGGAGCTGGCCTTGTCAAAGGGCTTCATGAGGTGGCCAAGGGATAAATAGAGGCTGAAAGGGGCTGACCCCAAACCAGCGAACCTGAGAGAGGAAGGGGGAGGGGAGAGGTGGGGAGGGGGAGAAGGGGTGTGTCAGCAGAGAGGGAGGATGGCATCAAGTAGTGTAGAACTGGTTGGTAAATACACATGATTCTTTGTAAACGCATCCATGCCCTTATGAAAAATGTGGTTCACTCCCGCAATCATACAACTTTTTTCCCCGGTAGACTCAAAAATCATCCCATGTGCACTGGGCAGGGGGCCCTGCAACTGTGACAGGAGGGGCCCGTCCCCGCAGAGCCGAGGCTGACAAAGCCTGCCTTGGACAGCTGCAGACATTCTTCCTGGCCGCCGCGCCCACGCCGGGCTCCACGCGCCTCTGCCCACCCTTGGGCTCAGAAGGCCTGGTCTTCTCTGACGATCTCTGGTCCCCCTACCTGGAGACGGGAGCCCTTTCCAGAGTTGTCGGGGCGCACAAGCCCGCAGGCTGCCTTCTTCCTCTCCGCGGCAGCCGGGGGAACAGACCCCGGCTCTGCGCTGCTGGGTTTGAATCTGGACTCACCATTTTTACTGAGATTTCACACAAAACCACCTGTTTCCTCCCTCGTCTTTCCTCACAGGGCTGCTGCAAGGTCAGATGAGCTCAATGCACGTGTTACTGAGTGTGGCACGCTGGTGACACACGCTTGTCACCATCACTCCCTATCTCTCCCCCCTCCCTCCTTTGAGTCCCTCCTCAGGCCTGGACCTCCTCATGCTGTTCCTCCCCCATCCTTCCTCCCACCGCCTCTCCTCTCTCTTCACCCCTCCCCGCTGCCTTCTCCCTTCCAGACCACCCCAATCCTCTTGTCCCCGGCCTGTCCCGAGTCCTCCCTGCCCCCTGTGCATGTTCCCAGAGTCCCCCGGCCCCACTGCTCAGGGGCCACAAGCCAGCCGCCCTTCGCCTCACCGCCCCCACAGCACGCACAAGCCGGCCTGTTCACCTCACATTTTATTGTAAAAATGTTAAAATAAATTACATTTGACGTCATTGCCAGTATGTACATACAGTATGTGCCATTCCAGGACAGCCAACAAGACAAGCTCGTTAAAACGTTTCACAGAAAATACTAGGTCGCTCCCCTTCCAGCCCCCCGCCGGGGCGGCAACCTCTGCAATGGTTAGAGGGTGGGTGGGGGGTGCGGACACACGCTCATCACAGTCTTCACATGTCTGGGGGAGGCTGGCCCCGTGTGCCCCCACAGCAGAGGGGGAGGGGCTGCGAGCTGTGGTCACCTGCCCCTGCCCGGCATCCGGTCGCCTGCGACGGACCCCCCCCCACCTCGGCTCACTTGCAGACCTGCGTCCCTCCCCAGCTCTGCACGGGGACTTGGCCCTTGATGTCATGGCCTTGGCTGAGGTCACCAGGGCAGGCCCGCAGGGCGGACACTGGACATCCCAATCCTCGGGACCCTGTGCTTTAACCACTGGCTCTGAAGCCTACGACAGATTCCAGGTATATAAAAACAGCAGTTCATTTAAAAAAATAACAGAAACATTCAGGACAGGGTGGGCATCACGGAGACCCCAAGGGCTTCGGCAGCAGCGAGTCTGCCCACCCCTCACTAGAAACAGTCCGGGTACAGCTTCACATTATCTTTTGCTCTCCAGCCCAAATCTTTTCCTTTCTTACACACGCACGCATGTGCACATGCACACAGGCATGCACGCACGATAACAGTAGCTGGAGAGAGGAGCTGGATTCACATATTTGGCCACTGCCCATCTGTGAGCCAAGAGCAATTTGGCCTCACCCCCCCACCCCTCCCCCAGCCCATGATGGGAGGAGGAGAGGACAGTGAGCTCCTTGTTCTGGGCACGCGGAAGGAGACAGCAGGATGGGGAGTGTGGGTCCTCAGACCAGGAGGTGGGGTGGGCACTTCCAGGAAGGGTGAGGGCAGATCGCCAGAGCTGGGCCCGCAGCTCCCTGCCCCGCAGCCCCGGGAGGCCCAGCTTCCAGTGGCCATGCCCTGCCACTCTCCCTTCCTACCACCCGGGGGGCAGGGGGGCAGAAAGCCTGGCATCTGCCATCGCTTGGCCTGAGACAGGGAGCAGGGCTCTGGGCTGGGCAGACCACAAGTGGGACTGAGACCTGGGCCCACACTGGACTTGCTCCAGGTCCTTCGAGTCGGAACCGTTGCAGCCCCTGCCCACCATCGCCTCTCTCCTTCCCGGAGCAGCCTCTGCTCTACTGCTCTTGGCAGCAGGCCCTAGGCCAGAGGGGAGACGGGGCTGCTACTGCCCAGGTGCTGAAATGCCCGGCCCCCATGTCACAGCTGTACCTCCCCAAACCCTTTAGAGCTCCCAAAGGCAGAACCGGGTCTTACGCACCCTCCTCTCTCTCGAAACGTCTAGCTCAGTACCAGCACGCAGAAGTCGCTCAGTAACACTCAAATAGCCGAGGCCTTGGCCTCAGAGAACCGTGACATTCAACCAAGTGACGGGGCGAAGGCCCAGGCAGGCACAGGTCTCCTCGGGGTCACCCCTCACCTGTCCTGCCAGCCGCAGATCTGTGAATCATCACATGCACCAGCCAAGCTCAGGACAGATGCCCCCCACAGCCGGGGTACGGTCAGCGGGAGGACAGAGGCCCTGTCCTGGGCAGGTGCCACTGCCATCGGCAGCACTAGCTGGAGGGGATGGAAGGTAAAAAGGCCCCTGGCCCCCCACTCCCAGTTCCAGGGCTGCCCCCCACCAGGGGCCAGGGGTCCCAGCCATGACAGGACACCCCGGGTGAGGGGAGAGAAGCCGTCCAGGTGGGTGGGGAGCCGGCCCTGCCTCACGTGCCTTTGGGGCTGCTGGCCTCGTTGTACTCGTTCATCAGCTGCTCGTAGGGCACGGAGAGCTCAGACTCGGTGCTGGTGAAGGTGGACTCGTCTGAGGAGGGGAACTCGCCCATGCTCAGGGGTGCCTCGGCTTCCGCCTGCTGGGGGGGCCCCTCCTCCTCCGCCAGGTTGTCCTCCAGCGAGGACTTGGAGGTGTCCTCGTCCGAGAGGCCAGCGTCCTCGTTCACGAAGGTGATGCTGGCGTTCTGGAAGATGAGTGGGTGGTAGTCCTGGGCGTCCCACGGCTCGCCCTCCTCGCTGATGCGGTCCAGCTGGTGACCGAGCACCTCGGGGGCCGGGGAGCCGTCCGCGGGGACCCGCGGCCCAGCCTCCTCGCTGGGCGGCTTCGACACGTGGCCTTTGCTCCTCAGTGTCTGTGACACCTCTTCCAAGCTGGGCACCCGGTTCTTGGAGTAGACTACCAGGGGCACCAAGGAAGGGGGCAGGGCTGGCAGCCCGCCGCCCTGAGTCCCCAGCCCCGGGCCTGGGCCCCTCTCCCCACCCACACTCGTCTTCATGGCCTTCTTCCCGATCTGCTTGATGAGGTCGTTGTAGGTCTCCTCTTTCTTGGACAGAAAGCTGAAGATGTTGACGTCCTTGGAGGCCCCACTGCCCGCCACCTGCAGGGCTGTCCTGGAGTGGGGGGAGCTCTCGAAGGACTCCTTCCGCCGCCGCCGCCTCTTCTTGATGGCCTTGTGGACTTCCACAAACATGCTCACCTTCCAGTTGACAAAGAGGGACAGCCAGGCCAACCCCAGGTAGATCCAGAGCTCCACGAAGTAGCGGTACAGGGCGTGGTAGTTGGCGCTGGGGTTCACACCTAAGAGGACAGGAAGCCCAGAGGTCAGGAAGGGTCAGCAGGGATCGGAAACGTGCAAGAGCCACGCTGTGCTATTCGAGCAGGCGTCCTGTCCTGCCCGGGTACGGGAGGGGGCCTGTTCCAGAGCCTGTGTCACCCTGTCTTCCCTGAGCGCCTGGGACCGTCATTCAAGACCCCATCCCAGCCACCAGCCTATCTCTGAGCCTCAGTTTCTTCAACTACAAAAAACGAGGGCAGTGACTTTTTGAGGGAAGTTCAAGGGGCCTTGGGAAACTGGAGACGTAACCAACACACAGGTCAAGACACGGGTCACAAGTAGCTGCATCGCAGTCCGTTATTCTACTGCCCCCAGCTGCTGTGCGTGTATGACACAGTCAGTTAAAGACTCCATGGGTGGAAATGACAGGAGGGGCCACGGGCACCCTCACAGCCGGGATGGACGCACTGTTTAACATGCACGGGGCTGATGGCCGGGTGGAGGTGACCCAGGCAGCGCTGACCCTGACAGGAAATATTCTGGACCGTCTTTATGCCCCTGGGAGGTCTGGTCTGCTCCCCGACTTCTCGTTTCTGTCTTCCGTGGACCTGGCTCTCCTCCTGGCCTGGAGGGCTCTGTCCACTTGTCCCCTTCTGGCTCCAGGGGCCTTCCCGGTACCCTCCCCAGCTCTGATGGCTCTGCTACGCCCCAGGGTCGTCTGAGATTTCTCTCATGACTTAACATTTCCGGCCATTCTGGTCTGTCTCCCGTCTCCGCCCTCTGACTGGACAGAGGGGCTGCCTCCCGTGCAGGTTAGCTGTCCCCCAGGGCAGGGGCTCCAGCGGAGGGGTGCTGCCAGTCCCGCCCACGGCCCCCAGCACAGAGTCTGATGATGACTATGACGAGGGCACACTAACACAGCCAGGCCCTACCCTCCGTACTCACGAGTAATAACTGGTTTTCCACCATCCTGTGTGGTGGGCGCCATTATTTTTACCAGTTTTATAGATGAGAAAACTGAGGGCCGAGGTTTGGTGTCTTGCTGAGGCTGAGAAAGTACAGTTAAATATTCCGCTGCGCTTCCCTCATACAAAAGGCTTCCCCCCACCTGCTCTGGGGCCCAGGGGCTATACGGTGGCAGGGCTGTGCCTCCTCCCAGGGCAGCAGGCCAGGCTTGCCGGGACAGTGGAGTGTGCCTCTTTTGCCTGTTCCTCCCGCGTGCTCAAGCTACGCCCTGCCAGATTCCACATACAAGGGACACAAGGCTGGCGACCTCCCCCTGCCCTCTGGGGAGTGGGAGGGGTGGAGAACAGAGGCCCCTGGAGCAGAGCCAAGGTCAACAGGGCCAAAGAGGGTGTCAAGAAGATTAAGAACCAAGATGCAGCGCAGGCCACAGGCTCAAGTATGTGCGTGGCTGGAGCCAGCTGGTCGCAGGCCTTCAGACAAAGGGGCCAAAGAATCTTATTGCCTCCCCGGATTAGGAGGGGAGGAGGGGGAAGGGGCAGGGCTGAGGGGCAGGGCAGCTGGGGAGAAGGCCTCCCTTGTCTTTAAGCTGCCTGTGCCAAGAGCGAGGCTCCAGCACAGCCCCCCTGAAGGATGAAAGGCTGCTGGGACCAGGGGTCGGGTCACCCCCACCTGTCCTGCCAGCCGCAGATCTGTAATCATCACATGCACCACCAGCTGCCAGACAGATCCCCGCCACAGCCGGTACGGTCACGGGAACAGAGCCCTTCCTGGCAGTGCCACTGCATCCACACTAGCTGAGGGGATGAAGGTAAAAAGGCCTCTGCCCCACTCCCAGTTCCAGCTGCCCACCAGGGCAGGTCCCAGCCAGACAGACACCCGGTGAGGGGACAGCGAACCTGAGAGAGGAAGGGGGAGGGGAGAGGTGGGGAGGGGGAGAAGGGGTGTGTCAGCAGAGAGGGAGGATGGCATCAAGTAGTGTAGAACTGGTTGGTAAATACACATGATTCTTTGTAAACGCATCCATGCCCTTATGAAAAATGTGGTTCACTCCCGCAATCATACAACTTTTTTCCCCGGTAGACTCAAAAATCATCCCATGTGCACTGGGCAGGGGGCCCTGCAACTGTGACAGGAGGGGCCCGTCCCCGCAGAGCCGAGGCTGACAAAGCCTGCCTTGGACAGCTGCAGACATTCTTCCTGGCCGCCGCGCCCACGCCGGGCTCCACGCGCCTCTGCCCACCCTTGGGCTCAGAAGGCCTGGTCTTCTCTGACGATCTCTGGTCCCCCTACCTGGAGACGGGAGCCCTTTCCAGAGTTGTCAGGGCGCACAAGCCCGCAGGCTGCCTTCTTCCTCTCCGCGGCAGCCGGGGGAACAGACCCTGGCTCTGCGCTGCTGGGTTTGAATCTGGACTCACCATTTTTACTGAGATTTCACACAAAACAACCTGTTTCCTCCCTCGTCTTTCCTCACAGGGCTGCTGCAAGGTCAGATGAGCTCAATGCACGTGTTACTGAGTGTGGCACGCTGGTGACACACGCTTGTCACCATCACTCCCTATCTCTCCCCCCTCCCTCCTTTGAGTCCCTCCTCAGGCCTGGACCTCCTCATGCTGTTCCTCCCCCATCCTTCCTCCCACCGCCTCTCCTCTCTCTTCACCCCTCCCCGCTGCCTTCTCCCTTCCAGACCACCCCAATCCTCTTGTCCCCGGCCTGTCCCGAGTCCTCCCTGCCCCCTGTGCATGTTCCCAGAGTCCCCCGGCCCCACTGCTCAGGGGCCACAAGCCAGCCGCCCTTCGCCTCACCGCCCCCACAGCACGCACAAGCCGGCCTGTTCACCTCACATTTTATTGTAAAAATGTTAAAATAAATTACATTTGACGTCATTGCCAGTATGTACATACAGTATGTGCCATTCCAGGACAGCCAACAAGACAAGCTCGTTAAAACGTTTCACAGAAAATACTAGGTCGCTCCCCTTCCAGCCCCCCGCCGGGGCGGCAACCTCTGCAATGGTTAGAGGGTGGGTGGGGGGTGCGGACACACGCCCATCACAGTCTTCACATGTCTGGGGGGAGGCTGGCCCCGTGTGCCCCCACAGCAGAGGGGGAGGGGCTGCGAGCTGTGGTCACCTGCCCCTGCCCGGCATCCGGTCGCCTGCGACGGACCCCCCCACCTCGGCTCACTTGCAGACCTGCGTCCCTCCCCAGCTCTGCACGGGGACTTGGCCCTTGATGTCATGGCCTTGGCTGAGGTCACCAGGGCAGGCCCGCAGGGCGGACACTGGACATCCCAATCCTCGGGACCCTGTGCTTTAACCACTGGCTCTGAAGCCTGCGACAGATTCCAGGTATATAAAAACAGCAGTTCATTTAAAAAAATAACAGAAACATTCAGGACAGGGTGGGCATCACGGAGACCCCAAGGGCTTCGGCAGCAGCGAGTCTGCCCACCCCTCACTAGAAACAGTCCGGGTACAGCTTCACATTATCTTTTGCTCTCCAGCCCAAATCTTGTCCTTTCTTACACACGCACGCACGTGCACATGCACACACGCATGCACGCACGATAACAGTAGCTGGAGAGAGGAGCTGGATTCACATATTTGGCCACTGCCCATCTGTGAGCCAAGAGCAATTTGGCCTCACCCCCCCACCCCCCAGCCCATGATGGGAGGAGGACAGTGAGCTCCTTGTTCTGGGCACGCGGAAGGAGACAGCAGGATGGGGAGTGTGGGTCCTCAGACCAGGAGGTGGGGTGGGCACTTCCAGGAAGGGTGAGGGCAGATCGCCAGAGCTGGGCCCGCAGCTCCCTGCCCTGCAGCCCCGGGAGGCCCAGCTTCCAGTGGCCATGCCCTGCCACTCTCCCTTCCTACCACCCGGGGGGCAGGGGGGCAGAAAGCCTGGCATCTGCCATCGCTTGGCCTGAGACAGGGAGCAGGGCTCTGGGCTGGGCAGACCACAAGTGGGACTGAGACCTGGGCCCACACTGGACTTGCTCCAGGTCCTTCGAGTCGGAACCGTTGCAGCCCCTGCCCACCATCGCCTCTCTCCTTCCCGGAGCAGCCTCTGCTCTACTGCTCTTGGCAGCAGGCCCTAGGCCAGAGGGGAGACGGGGCTGCTACTGCCCAGGTGCTGAAATGCCCGGCCCCCATGTCACAGCTGTACCTCCCCAAACCCTTTAGAGCTCCCAAAGGCAGAACCGGGTCTTACACACCCTCCTCTCTCTCGAAACGTCTAGCTCAGTACCAGCACGCAGAAGTCGCTCAGTAATACTGGTGCACTCAAATAGCGAGGCCTTGGCCTCAGAGAACCGTGACATTCAACCAAGTGACGGGGCGAAGGCCCAGGCAGGCACAGGCCTCCTCGGGGTCACCCCCCACCTGTCCTGCCAGCCGCAGATCTGTGAATCATCACATGCACCAGCCAAGCTCAGGACAGATGCCCCCCACAGCCGGGGTACGGTCAGCGGGAGGACAGAGGCCCTGTCCTGGGCAGGTGCCACTGCCATCGGCAGCACTAGCTGGAGGGGATGGAAGGTAAAAAGGCCCCTGGCCCCCCACTCCCAGTTCCAGGGCTGCCCCCCACCAGGGGCCAGGGGTCCCAGCCATGACAGGACACCCCGGGTGAGGGGAGAGAAGCCGTCCAGGTGGGTGGGGAGCCGGCCCTGCCTCACGTGCCTTTGGGGCTGCTGGCCTCGTTGTACTCGTTCATCAGCTGCTCGTAGGGCACGGAGAGCTCAGACTCGGTGCTGGTGAAGGTGGACTCGTCTGAGGAGGGGAACTCGCCCATGCTCAGGGGTGCCTCGGCTTCCGCCTGCTGGGGGGGCCCCTCCTCCTCCGCCAGGTTGTCCTCCAGCGAGGACTTGGAGGTGTCCTCGTCCGAGAGGCCAGCGTCCTCGTTCACGAAGGTGATGCTGGCGTTCTGGAAGATGAGTGGGTGGTAGTCCTGGGCGTCCCACGGCTCGCCCTCCTCGCTGATGCGGTCCAGCTGGTGACCGAGCACCTCGGGGGCCGGGGAGCCGTCCGCGGGGACCCGCGGCCCAGCCTCCTCGCTGGGCGGCTTCGACACGTGGCCTTTGCTCCTCAGTGTCTGTGACACCTCTTCCAAGCTGGGCACCCGGTTCTTGGAGTAGACTACCAGGGGCACCAAGGAAGGGGGCAGGGCTGGCAGCCCGCCCCCCTGAGTCCCCAGCCCCGGGCCTGGGCCCCTCTCCCCACCCACACTCGTCTTCATGGCCTTCTTCCCGATCTGCTTGATGAGGTCGTTGTAGGTCTCCTCTTTCTTGGACAGAAAGCTGAAGATGTTGACGTCCTTGGAGGCCCCACTGCCCGCCACCTGCAGGGCTGTCCTGGAGTGGGGGGAGCTCTCGAAGGACTCCTTCCGCCGCCGCCGCCTCTTCTTGATGGCCTTGTGGACTTCCACAAACATGCTCACCTTCCAGTTGACAAAGAGGGACAGCCAGGCCAACCCCAGGTAGATCCAGAGCTCCACGAAGTAGCGGTACAGGGCGTGGTAGTTGGCGCTGGGGTTCACACCTAAGAGGACAGGAAGCCCAGAGGTCAGGAAGGGTCAGCAGGGATCGGAAACGTGCAAGAGCCACGCTGTGCTATTCGAGCAGGCGTCCTGTCCTGCCCGGGTACGGGAGGGGGCCTGTTCCAGAGCCTGTGTCACCCTGTCTTCCCTGAGCGCCTGGGACCGTCATTCAAGACCCCATCCCAGCCACCAGCCTATCTCTGAGCCTCAGTTTCTTCAACTACAAAAAACGAGGGCAGTGACTTTTTGAGGGAAGTTCAAGGGGCCTTGGGAAACTGGAGACGTAACCAACACACAGGTCAAGACACGGGTCACAAGTAGCTGCATCGCAGTCCGTTATTCTACTGCCCCCAGCTGCTGTGCGTGTATGACACAGTCAGTTAAAGACTCAATGGGTGGAAATGACAGGAGGGGCCACGGGCACCCTCACAGCCGGGATGGACGCACTGTTTAACATGCACGGGGCTGATGGCCGGGTGGAGGTGACCCAGGCAGCGCTGACCCTGACAGGAAATATTCTGGACCGTCTTTATGCCCCTGGGAGGTCTGGTCTGCTCCCCGACTTCTCGTTTCTGTCTTCCGTGGACCTGGCTCTCCTCCTGGCCTGGAGGGCTCTGTCCACTTGTCCCCTTCTGGCTCCAGGGGCCTTCCCGGTACCCTCCCCAGCTCTGATGGCTCTGCTACGCCCCAGGGTCGTCTGAGATTTCTCTCATGACTTAACATTTCCGGCCATTCTGGTCTGTCTCCCGTCTCCGCCCTCTGACTGGACAGAGGGGCTGCCTCCCGTGCAGGTTAGCTGTCCCCCAGGGCAGGGGCTCCAGCGGAGGGGTGCTGCCAGTCCCGCCCACGGCCCCCAGCACAGAGTCTGATGATGACTATGACGAGGGCACACTAACACAGCCAGGCCCTACCCTCCGTACTCACGAGTAATAACTGGTTTTCCACCATCCTGTGTGGTGGGCGCCATTATTTTTACCAGTTTTATAGATGAGAAAACTGAGGGCCGAGGTTTGGTGTCTTGCTGAGGCTGAGAAAGTACAGTTAAATATTCCGCTGCGCTTCCCTCATACAAAAGGCTTCCCCCCACCTGCTCTGGGGCCCAGGGGCTATACGGTGGCAGGGCTGTGCCTCCTCCCAGGGCAGCAGGCCAGGCTTGCCGGGACAGTGGAGTGTGCCTCTTTTGCCTGTTCCTCCCGCGCGCTCAAGCTACGCCCTGCCAGATTCCACATACAAGGGACACAAGGCTGGCGACCTCCCCCTGCCCTCTGGGGAGTGGGAGGGGTGGAGAACAGAGGCCCCTGGAGCAGAGCCGAGGTCAACAGGGCCAAAGAGGGTGTCAAGAAGATTAAGAACCAAGATGCAGCGCAGGCCACAGGCTCAAGTATGTGCGTGGCTGGAGCCAGCTGGTCGCAGGCCTTCAGACAAAGGGGCCAAAGAATCTTATTGCCTCCCCGGATTAGGAGGGGAGGAGGGGGAAGGGGCAGGGCTGAGGGGCAGGGCAGCTGGGGAGAAGGCCTCCCTTGTCTTTAAGCTGCCTGTGCCAAGAGCGAGGCTCCAGCACAGCCCCCCTGAAGGATGAAAGGCTGCTGGGACCAGGGGGTGGCGAGGGGGCTTCTGGGTGACAAGCACAAACCCTGGGGGCCAAAGGCCCTACTCCTAGCCCTGCAGGAACCCAAGCTCAGGAGTCAGGGGAGAACAGAGGAGGAGATCAGAGCCTGAACAGAGAGAAAAGGAGAAGGGGGAAAGCCATATACAATAAAGGGAACGAGCGAGAAAAGACTCTACTGCATTTACTCTGTGCCTCAGTTTCCTCTTGCAACTGGCAGGGTGGGCTGAGAACCCCGCTGGGTGGGAGAAGTGCCCAGAACACGGGACGCCTACCAGGCCCCCAACAAGGGTCTGCTGCGTTGGAACTGCAGGAGCAGAGAGACAAGAGGGGAGGCAGAGGCAAGGACTCACCGGCCACGAAGTCACCGAAGCCGATGGTGGAGATGGTGATGAAGGAGTAGTACAGGCCCTCGATGTAGTCCCACTCCTCGGTCACCATGAACACGAAGGGCGGGATCACCAGGTGGACCAGGACGCCCCACACGATGAAGATGGCCGTGCACGTGATCTGCGCCTTCCGCTGGCGGGAAGCAAGAGGCCAAGTCAGACACCAGTGGAGACTTGAGAAGCCCAGCGGTGGCCCCAGAGGGCCGGGGAGGCAGCTGGGGGGCGGCCAGCTGGGCACCAGGCCGGGGAGGCCTCCCGCTGGGAAAGACGGAGGGAGGGGTGCTCCCAGCCTGACCCAGAGAGCTCTGACGCTGCCCTCTTGCCATCTGTCCTAGGACCCCTGCCCCGTCCAATTCTTGGAGCCTTCCCGTCTCCCCCTTACCTGTCACGTCCCCCTATCTCTGCCCACCACTGAGGGTTGGGGACATACCAGGCTCACGCCTCTCTTGGTGAGGAACTGGCCCAGCCTCTTGGCTCGTCCCCCGAAGAACTTGCCCAGCGCGCTGATCCACGTCAGGCAGAGCGGCACCCCGAACAGACCGTAGAAGACGCAAAAGAGGCGACCGGCGGGGGTCTTGGGAGCCACGTTGCCATAGCCTGGGGAAGGAGAGAGTGAGGTCGGGACAGCCACAGCGGGAGGGCTGGACACACACTGAGCCCGTGTCCACTGCATGTACACGTGTACACACACGCAAGCACACGCACGCACACACACACCAGCTCAGGGCCCGTCCTCTAAATATCACTTGATCAAGTGATACTGACCTAATATCAGTACTTAAGTAATATTTCCCTCCATCACTCCCTGATCATGATCATTTACAAAGCAATTATAACCAGCCTGAGCAAGAGCGAGACCCCAACTCTACTAAAGAAATAGAAATTAGCTGGACAACTAAAAACATATATAGAAAAAATTAGCCGGGCATGGTGGCGCATGCCTGTAGTCCCAGCTACTCGGAAAGCTGAGGCAGCAGGATCGCTTGAGCCCAGGAGTTTGAGGTTGCTGTGAGCTAGCTGACGCCATGGCACTCTAGCCTGGGCAACAGAGTGAGACTCTGTCTCAAAAAAATAAGTAAATAAATAAAATAAAATATATTAAAAAAAAAAAAAGCAATGATGGCACGGGCTACGTTTCCTCTATCAAACTGGGAGCAGGGACTGTGCCCCCACCAAACACAGGTGAGTCTCCCACGATCCGTACGGTACTGCTGTGCAAACCAGAAGAGGCCCCTCTCCATGCAGAGGCCCCGGAGGTACAGTGGTTGCCAGTCTCCGGACACCATTCTCAATTCTCTCCCTTCTTATGCAACTGCTCCTATCAAGGCAGAGTCCAATCTTCCTCCCTTTGACTCGGGCTCTGCCCATGGGCGCGGTCGAGGCGGCAGATGTTGATGAGGTCTAAGACTCTGCAGCTTTTCCTGATTCCCTGGACATGCTCCCTCTGGGGTTTCCCTCTTGGAGCCCAGCTGCCATGCTGTGCGGTGCCCAAGCCACACGTGGGGGCCTTGTGCTTTCATTCCCAGCTGTGCTCTCAGCCAACAGCTAGCACCAACTGACGAACCTGGCATGGGAGGAGCCCTCAGGCCAGCTGGGCTTTCAGATGACTCCAACCCGGTCATTGTTTGGCTACTGCCACGTTGGATAGCCCAAGCAAGAGGCGGCCAGCTGAGCCCAGTCAACCCCCAGAACGGTGAAAGATAAGAAGTTGTGTTTTGAGCCGCCAACTTCTGGGCTGGCTGGCGATACCACCATAGAGAACCGGAACGGAAACCTAGCTTGGTGAGCGAGCAGGGTCTGGGTCTGTGCTGTGAGCAGCCTGCTCAGTCTCCCACAAGCCTCTGGGTATCAGCTATGTCATCATTTCAAAGAGCCCAGGTCAGGCCTCAGGGAGACAGCCTCCCAGGCAGAGCTAGTCACCAAGCACTTACTGAATCCCCAGGGAGGCGTCAAAAGGACAGTGTGCACCTGGCTTGACTTTACCCCTGACGAGCCTGGCTCCTATAATGTTCCAGTGAGCTAGGCGTGGCACTGGCTATCCTACTGAAGGTTCCAGAAGACTTACCAATGGTGGTGATGACCGTGGCTGCAAAAATCATCGCGTTGGGCCAGTTCCAGTTGTTGAAGGTCTGGTTCCCTGTGATGGCCACGCCCTGTCCTGCGGCATCAGAGACTACCTGAAAAGGAGGGAGAGACAGACAGACAGACAATAAAGCTCGGAGCTGAGGCCACACAGATGCTTTCCAAGTGACAACACTGCATCAAACCCCTTGTTCGCACTCTCGTGTAGTTATCACAATAACCAGGTGGCAGTTATAAATGTCTCCATTTTACAGATGAAACATTTTTTAGAGGATCAGAGAGGTTTCGCACAAGGTCACAGAGCTGGTAAGGATATGAACCCAGACAATCGGGCCCCCAAGTTCATTCCTTCACGGAGCTAGTGCTTCTCAAACTTACTAGCATGCCCTAACAAAACCCCCCGAGTTTCTGATTCCGCAGGTCTGGGAAGGGGCATTTCTATTAAGGTGATGGCTGACGCTACTGGTCCAGGGACCACATTTTGAGAAGCGCTGCACTAGACTATTCTGCCTCTCAAAGGCAGCAGATGAGATGCAGACTCACGGGAGGTCCCCTACGCCCCACTCAGCCCTCCATAGAGAGTGTTCTGCCTGCAGAGGCCAAGTTCAGAGCTGGCCTGGGAGGGATTCCCAGACACCCTTCAGCCCACTGCAGGATACCTGCCGAGGTCAGCTCAGTGCCTCTAGATCTGTCCTCTGGGGGCAAGCAAATCAGCAGGTCCTCACGCCCATGCTGAGGACTCCAACCCACCCTCTCCCCCACAGGCTCCCGCTCTCCTCTCTTCCCTGTATCCCCCTCTCTCTGCCCTGGGCTCAGCAATTGTCTGGGAAAGGACAGACCAGAAGGCAGTGAATACATTGCAGGGTGACTCAGAATTGTGCTGTCATTCCCCACAGAGCTTCCAACGTGGACAGTAGGTGAGAGGCCACCTGGGGATGTCCCTGGAGGATGGCCTTACCTGCTCCAGCAATACTGACAATGGCCCAACCAGTTTCCATCTGACTAGTCTCTGACTCTGCCCCTTCCTTCAGCTCTGCCCACCATTTACCCCAACCTACCAATGGGGCTTTATCGGCTAGCAGAGCCTGGGCCCCAGAAACCCCATAAGAAGGAGCTCTAAGTCTGGGATTTGAGTCCTGTCCCCAAGGAGGGCCCCAGGATGGGTCATCCAGCCCAGAGCCTAGGTGCTCAAATTCCCTACAAAAATCAAGACAAGGATAGAGGGAGCAGAGGCAGGAGTTGAGGGATGGAACACGAGGAAGACCAACAAACCTTATTTCTAACCCACCCAAGGCATGGCTGGGGTTTGGTGGGGAAAAGAGGGAAGGGTAGGTTGTTCTGAAGGAATGTGCAGTTCACACAGGCAGCAGCGGCCCTTGTAAACTGATCTGCGTACCGGGTGAAGAATTTCCCATGATGACATGCTTGTCGCACAAACCATCAGACCACACGGCCACTGCCCTGCGTCCTCCCTGCATTTCCGGAGCATCTCTGAGGCCGAGAAGGCGGCGCAGTTGCAAGGTGGAAAGGTGGGACCTGTCACATCAGACTCTGCACCTCAGAGAGCCGTGGGCCAGCCAGCCAGGCAGGCCACTCGCACACGCGATAACCAGGACACTTAAACACTAACAGGCCGACGGGAGGGCTGACGTAAATACCAAGGACCATCCGGCGGGCCGTTGGAAACATCAAATCTGCGTCTGGAGCAAGAGAATGAGGAAGTGCCTGGGCCCTGTGTGCTAATGTCAAGCAGATGGTGGAGAACGCAGACCCACTCGGCTGCCCTGTAGCCCCCACCTGTTATCTCGGACGTAATCTGCAACTGGACGGCCGAAAACACATGGAAAGGGCACACGAGGACACACGTGAAAAGGGAACTGAATGACTGACCAGAGATGACACCGCAGCACCACCTCCGGTCATTCCCATGGAACCGTGGGGCACAGGAAAGATGTCAGAAGACAAGCTGTCCCTATTTTCACAACAAGGAAAAGGGTGGATTCCAGAGACTTGGAAAACAAACCTGAACTCTTGCAAACTTCTGAATGGGGAGAGGAGAGTGTCTGGAACATTCCGAGGAGGAAGTGGTGGGCACTAGGAGCTAACGCAGATTCACCGAGACCCAGTCATGCTCAGCTGAGTGCATCTCCTCCAAAGTTGCTGCAAAGCCTTGGAGTTTTGTGGAATGCGATAAATCTAGATATCAGCAAGGCAGCTAGCAGATGGATTTAAAGATATTCATGTGGACAAGACAGAGAGGCATGGTGGGGGGGGGGAAGTGAGGATTAATTGGGTCCATTCAAAGGCAGACAACCCCAGGAAGTACTGATCATTATCGACCAACACCAAGGTCTCCATACTCACGCCTGGCCTCTTCGACATTTTAATCAGCAGCAGCGTGAGGACAGAGCCGGCTGAGCAATGCAGCGTGCAGAGGATGCAAAACTGGAGATAAGCATGCGATGGGAAGAATAGCCAACACGTGGCGATGGCAGTACTGAGACTCAAAAATCATCTGGACTAGAAACAGGGGCCGGAATTAACAAGTCGCCAGTGTCCTTTTAAATTTTCATATCTCACTCTTTGGATTGGAAAAGGCTAGTATAGGATCAAAGAGGAAAGTCCTTGGGTTTTAGCTGACCATGAACCAATAAACACTAGGGCGGCTGCCAAGAGTAAATGCAATCTCAGGCCATGTCAACTCCGGGCCTACCCAGGGCTGGGAGGTAACGAGCCCATTGTTCCCTGCAGGGTCAGGCCACCATGTGGGGCACCTTGTTCCACTCCGGGTGTCAGACAGTGTATTAATCAAGGCCACGGTCCCAGAAGGAATGGGGCTGGCTTTTACAGATAACAAGCTATCTCACAATGGGATACCCTTTGCAGTAATCAATAATCAATTTCTGATAATGAAAATATTGAGATCAGGGATGACCGCCTCCCATCAGGGGTACTGCTGAAGGTATGACTGGAACAGGAGTTTCTCAACTGGGGGTGGCTGTGCCTTTTGGGAGTGTTTGGAGAAGCCGAGGGGGGTGTTGTATGTGCAAGGGGCTGTTCTAGGTGCTGGGGATACTGGCGTGAATGAACAGGACCCCTGCCCTCCCCATGCGTTTATTCCAGTGGGTGATAGGCTAAGTGCTGCTGGCATTAAGTGGGCAGGGGCTGGAGATGTCGAAGGCCCTGCAGTTCAGAGGACAGCCCCTCCTACAATGCCACCGCTGCTCCCCCTGGGACACACTAGCTTCCAAAGGTAACCTGCCATCTGAGAATCATTTAGCAGGTGCTAAGGAGACATCAAACACAAAGGCACTAAGGTTGGGAGTATGGCGAGGTGGGGAGCTGGGCTTCCTGCCTTTTACCCTTTGGGCAGTGGCTCACTTTCCCGTGATCTCCTTGATCTCCATGCGGTCACCCAGCGGGAGGCTGGCATTCCCAAGGGCCCTCGCTCTCTGGGGCTGGGCGCGCCACCAATCCTTGCAAAGACCCAGCGAGAGCAATTACACACACTGGGAGGAGAGAGGTTACCTGGCAGAACTGGGCTAGGCTGTAGACTTGTGTGGTTTTAAGTCCGCAACTTCAAGCCTCCCTACACTCCCTGCTCTGCTCATCCCGTGGGCTCCCCCAGTGTCCCTGTCCCCCCGCTGCTCATGGCTCCCCAGAAGCTGACCTGGGAGTCAGCTTGGTCCCACTGCAGTGCTGGGGGGAGTAATAGTATTAGTGCTGCGGCATGTCAGACACCCCTTGCTGGGGCGTTTATACGTGTATTACCTAACTAGCTCTTCCTGTGATCACTTGGCAGGGGAGAAAACTGTGCTCGGGAAGCCGAGGTCCAGATATGAACTTGGGGTGCCAGCTCCCCATTCCCACCACGAGTAGCTGAGGCTCTGGCTGGGACACAGGACTGATCACGGCTGGGGTCAGGCAGGATGAGGAGGAGGCCTTCGCCGGTCCCCCAGGAGGGAAAAGCTGACCCGGGGCTGAGGCTGCCCGTGGGTTATGGGGAAGGACACGGGAGAGCCAGGCAAACACCCTGTTAGACAAGGCGTCCCGTTCTCGGGGTTAGGGAAACAGCTTTCGCGGGAGGAGGCGGCCCCTGTTCACTCGCAGGATTCTTTAACTTGGCTCCCAAAGTCACACAAGACAATATTTTCATTTTCCGTACAAGCCGGGAGCGCGGTGGGAGAAGGGAAGCCCGTGCACAGCCCGGGCCCAGCTCTTGTTTGGGGACAGAATAGAGTTCCCTGTCTCCGTCACCCTCGTCGTAAAGCAGCTGTGATTTATTGAGGGCTTACTATGTGCCAAGTGCTACGCTAAGCATTTTATGTGCCTTTAGCTCATTTAATGAGGACAGAACCCTGCTGGGAAGATACTATCATTTTTTCCATTTTACAAATGAGGATTTGAGGCTTAGAGAGGTTAAGGAGGTAGCCCGAGGTTGCAGCGCTACAAGCAGTAAGGCCGGGACTGGAAGCCAGGCCCATCTGGGTCCCAACTGCTGTATCCTATCGCCTGTCCTATAAAGGCTGCAGGAAGAAGGCCTGTGCATACCTCCACCCCTCTCGCCAGCTGAAAAAACAGTGCCCTAAAACCAGTCCAGCCGCTCCGGCCAGCCCTCCAGCGAGCGACACCCATGCCCTTGCCCAGAGCTCCAGTCAGCCAGCTGCCCTGACACACCTTCCCAGGCGCTCCCTGCCCACGTAAGCGGGGTTCCCAGACACCCCCTCCTCCCTCGGGGACCCAAGGCTTCCAGCAGCAGTTGCCGGGTGTCCCCTTTCTGGAGAAACTCGTCTTGACATGTGGGCACATCCAGGGCTTTGGGACACGACGCCCACCTACAGGTGCGGCAGGCAGGGCTGAGGTGGGGCCTTTCCCTTTATAGACTAGGGGTCGCAGCTGCCAGGCACCCACAGCCACGCCTGGCCCTGCCTCCAGCTGCCCCAGCCGCCACCACTCCCGGATCACAGAACTCTCTCCTGCTCGTGCAGAACGCAGCCTCGGCAATCGTGCTCGACTGCAGCCCCGCTGGGCCCGCAGACCGTGGGCGGTTCACGAGGGCGACCTCCCTTACCATCCCCGGCCGCACCAACCCATAATTCACTCCATCGGCACTCACTCGGTCCCTCTGGCCTGGAAGGTATCGGTAACATGTCATTCCTCTCACGTGGCCCTCCTAGCTACCTCCTCCCCCCTCGCGAAGGGGAGGGCGTCACTCATTTGTCCTCATTTCACAGAGGATAGCTGGTATTTGAATAAAAGCTGATACTGGAGCGCTTGTGAAGACAGGCACTGAGCTAAGCACTTCACATCACTCAGCCCACGGAATCTTCACACCCTGTCAAGCAGATACTGCTGTTGTCCCCATTTCAGAGATGAGGAAACAGAGGCACCTGCCCAAGGTCACACAGCTAGTGAGTGGCGGAGCTGGGACAGGAGCCCAGGCGGTGTGGCTCTCAGCCACTGTAGCATCTATAGCGGGGGAGGGGGATGCAGGCGGGCGTCCCGCTGCAGGTGGAGTGACATGCCAGGCAGCGGCGTGGGACACACCCGCAGGGATGCAGGGACTCCCCTAGAATGCAAGCTCCGCGAGGGCAGGGACTTTTCTCTGTTTTCTTTTCCGCTGCTATGTTCCCACTGCCTGGCACATAATGCTAACAGCTGCTCAACAGATACTTGTTAAATGTGTGAGTAAATAAATGACTAAATGAGGGTATACGCTCTAGCTCAACTAACTTGCCCTCTAGTGCCCCTTCCTCCCCAACATCTCCCAGCGTTGCTCTGTAACTGGCTTTTAAATAATTCATCAGCAACAAGGGGGAGGCCTGTATCTAGCAAGAGGGCAGGAAAGAGAGGCTCAGCCCAGCGGCAGTGGGGTTCACAGGGGGCTGCTGAAACCCCCAGCACCCAGCTGGTCTTGGGTGGAGAGTGGGGGCTCAGCAGGCTGGGCAGACAGGGCAGAGGGCCGGGAGCTGAGGAGGGGCGAGGTGAGGGGGGCAGAGAGAGCCCCGAGGAAGGGGGTCAAGGCGACAGAGCAAGCAGCAGTGGTGCTGGGAGAGGTCTCTGGGGTGGCGGGATTGTCCTTCCTGCAGGAAGGGAGGCCTGTCCCCTCTGGAAACTCTGCACCAAGGCAGTGGATGTGCTGAGAGCAGGGAAAGGAATAGCAACGGATTGTGGATTGAAACTTTGTTTCCAGCCAGGCACTTTCCTTACTGAAACCTTAAAGCCCTCCTCTCTGAGGACACTTGGTCAATCCTAGGTACAGCAAGGCCACTGCGGCTCAGGTTGAGCTCTAGGAAGCCACAGGTGCAGACCTGTGCTCGTGGGAAAGGTGGGACCGATCTGGGTTGCATTGGAGGGGGTGTCTCCATCGCTGGCAGCAAGCCTCCAGGTAGGCACTGGATAAACGCACCTGCAACCAGTGCTGTGACTCCAGTCCGTGTGGCAATTTGACCCAGGAGCAAAGACCATGCGCCCCCAAGGCTAAACCAGAGGGACTGGCATGCCCTGGACGGGGGTAGAGAAGGGCCAGGGGTTTACAGCCCTGTGCTTGGAGGACAGGACTGGGTGACAAGAGGAGTCACTGTTCCCAACCCTCCTCACACCTGCCACCTCTTCCCACTACTTCCTGTTTTAACAGAGACAACTGAACATTCTCAGCTTGATGAACTGGCTCCTTTAAGGCACTCGGGAGAAGGGATGGAGGACTGTGGCTCCACAGGTCCCCCCTCACCTGACAGCTGCGAGTCAGGGGTAGGGGGAAACGGACACGCCCAAGATGCCCCAGCCCATGCACAGAAGGCTCACCCTGACCGCTGACCCCAGAGGCTCCCCAGCCACCCTGACCAGTTTCCCAGCCAGCCAAGCAAGTTGGGCAGGCTGCTGAGGGAAGGGAATGCCACCACTGCCCCCCCAACCTCCCAGGTGAGCCAGGCCAGGAGCAGACAGGAGGCGGCATCTCCGCACACGCGTCCAACTCCCTCCCAGCCCCCAGCTTCGCCGCGCAGCAGGACGCCGCTGGCCCCTGAGTGTGTCCGGTCTGTCTGTCCGCCTGGTCTCCAGCGAGGAACCCCTCTGTGTGGGGAGCCCAGTGGGGGGAGCTCTCAGCAGGACAGGCAGAAGGAAATTAGTAAACCTATCTCAGGCATTTTTTAGGCAAATATTTGCAGTTTGGGCTTAATGCGATGGTTTTCAAATTTTGTAGCACCACGGAACTTAGGAACAGATAAAGGGGGGATGGGAAAGGGCTCAGCTCCCATGAAGCTGGAGAAAGGGAGTGTGAAGGAGGGGCGGGCAGCTGTCTGCCCAGCTGACAGGCTAGCCCTCTGGGAGGATGTGCCCACCTGTTAGCCCTCCTATTCCCAAGGCAAATTCGAGAACTGGAAACTCTAGTGGCCAAGCTCTCAGTTACCACCACTCCCTTTCACTCTCCACCCCAGAATGACCCAACTCCTCAAACTATTCCCTTATGGTTAACTGGGGCGTGGGGGAGCGGTGCTGGGATTGCTTTCAGATGAGGAAACTGAGGCTTGGGTACCACACAGGCACTGTGGCTCTCAGCCCAGGTTGCACTGCCCAGTGGAACCACCTTGGAATTTAAATAAACACGATGCCTGGGCCCCGCCCACAGGTACTCTGTTGACCTGGGCACGGCTCTCACTAAGTTCCAGAAGTGCATCTGCCGTGCGGCGCTGCCTCAGTGGAGGGTGATGGGGGTGCCGGGCTCGGGCCTTCCATCTCCCTGTCTCAGGAGGGCGTGTGCGTGGCAGAGACAAGGAATTCTTGGTATTTTCCCCGCTGCCCTCTCGCCTCGGGCCAGGTGACCAGGGTGTGGCTCGGAGGGCAGCCGCAGTTTACGAGCAAAGGTATTGGCGAGGGCCCAACAGTGCCACCCCGACGCCTGTGCCAGCCGCAGGCCAGCTCGCCCGCTGTCTGTGCCCAGGACGGAGCAGAAGCTGGGGCTAGGGGCAGCAACCCGACCTGTCTTCCCCAAGACCAGAGACGGGCTGCTGCAAAGGGGACTTCTTTAACTTCTCTTTTGCTTATCTGCGTTCCCAGATTTGCTCCAATACCTACGTGAAAGATCTAGAAGGAGGAAGGCAGGCTAAAGCAGTTGCCGGAGACTGGCGGTCCAGGATGTCCCTGTGGGGTCTGAAGACCCAGGCTCTGCTCAAGTCCTACCAGGACCTCTGATCTCTCTGATGCCTCCTCCTCCGTAAAATGAGGGTAGACCATGACTGCGGGGTCCCACTGCTGGGGCGGGTGACACCTTCCTGAAATCCACCTCCCTCTAATCCCTCTGCCCAGAACCATGACTTCTGGGCCCAGCCCAGCCCCTCCGCCCAGGCCCTTCTCCTCCACGGCACACTCAAGAAATACAGCCGCATGCTCAGGGCCTGGCGCCCTGGCCACCAGCCCCAGCCCCTTCAAGCCTGCTTTCTGCTTCCCCGGATCCCGCCGCAGGTTACACTCCTCTCGGGGCCCTGAAGTAATGTGCCCAGTGCCGACCTGCCGTCCCTCAGCCCGGGGAGGAGGCAGCCGGCCAGAGCAGGCCCCACAGTGCCACAGGTGGGGCTGCGTACAAAACACTCCCCCCTTTCTGCCCCCATGCTCCCATGGTGGCCCTGCATGGCTGGTCACACCTCGGTTAAACCCCAAGCACCCGTTAGGCAAGCGGGAAAGTGGCATACTGCTCCCGCCCTTGTTGCACACGTTAGGCGTCACCAGACTGCTTCTTAACCTGGACTGCATGTTGAGATCATCAGGGGAGCTTAGAAAAATAATCATGCCCGGGTCTTGCCCCCACAGTTCCAAGAGAAATAGTCTGGGCCCGGGACTGGTGATTCTAACATTATGTTCAGCCAAGTTTCAACACCACTGCCTTAGACCCAAACCACTCTCCCTCCGCATCGGGGACCGAGTCGAACCCCACCCCTGGAGTCAGCCGTGCACACGACTGTCCTCCCATGCGCCTCTGGGCTTCCCCTGCCCGCCCTCCTGGGCCATCTCTCAGCAGCCTCTGCTGAGTCCAGAGGCACGGCGAGGTCTCACGCACGGGGGCAAGCCCCTGCCAGATGGGAGCAGGTTTTCAGCAGAAACCTCTGGGTTTCCGACTTTCACAGGCCTGGGAACCCTGTCCTCCCTCGGGAGGGACAAAGAAAACAAGGCAGGTGACCCTGTCCCCATTGTTCTGAGGCTGGGACGGTAACCCCCCCTTAGCAGCCAGGCAGCCCTCCCGTGAGAACAAGCCCAGGGCAGAGCTCTGCGGGGGCTGGTGACCTGTCAGGGCTGCAGCCCGGCTAAAGCAAACAGTGCAGCCCTGGGGCCGGGCTCAGGATGGGAGTCAGCACGCGTTCTCAGGCACCTGGAGGGCCGAGCCCATGCGCTGTGTGGAAATCCCCGGGAGCGCAGACACGGGAGGGAGCCACGTCCTGAAAATCTACCTCCACATCATCTTCTGAAGGATGCAGGGCAGGCAGGATGTCCAGTGAGGCTTAAATGACAAGACGGACATCCTTCATCACAACCGCTGCCTGCCTCAGGGTGGTCGTGGCCTGGGTCCATGGTCCTGTGCTGGTGTCCGTGACCTATCTGGGATGCTGGGGCCTGGGTTTGTGACTTTGTCCCCTTCCTTGTTCCCAGAATCCAGGCCCGGGGTTGTCTCACCCCTCTCTGCCCTGACAGATGACAAGAGGTGTCTCCCAAGTAGTGGGCCGACAGTGCGAGAGGGGGACGGGAAACCGTTCCAGCCGGGACTGTCCGGCGGCACAGAGCAGCTCTCTGCTTTCCCAGTGAGGGTGTGGGGCACCAGGGAGCAGGGCTGTCCTCCCAAGTGTCCTCCCAAGCATGTGGCTTAGCACCCCACCCCCGGCATCGAATCCGGCTCCTGGCCCAGCTCCCTCCTCCACGACACGGATGGGAGAGCCTGAGTCAGCATGTCCCCCTTCACGAGCCCACACGTGTCACGCACCGCCTCACACGCCCACGCCCCCTCCACCGCAGTCCCAACCAGACACAGGGCCCCGAAGGGAAACCAGGCAAATGCACATGACTACTCCTGCCCTGTAGGTGAGTAATCTATCCACAGAGAGGGTGAGTGACAAGGCGAAGCCACACAGCAAGGTGGTGACAAAGCACAGAGCAGACCTGCCAGAGGCCCTAACCCTCACCTGAGGGCTCTGCCCACAGAACACCCCGGCCACCCACCCCCTCCCCAGGACCAGGCCAGGTGATGCCAGCCACAGCAGAGCAGGCAGGTGCCCGGAGGTAACCGAGTGCTGTCAGGGGCCGTGGGGTCACGCCCCTGGGTCTGACCTGCCTGTAACATGTAGGGCGAGTGCATGCTCGTGCTCTCTGCCCCACGGCCCTGGGGATGCCTCTGAGATTCACTCTCTGGGGTAGGGTGCAAGGAGCAACCACCGGAAGTCGCCGGCCACTTGAGGGTTCTACAAACATCCCTTGGAGCAGGCCACAGGGGAGGTCACGGGGACTGCTGACTCACCATCTCCCCAGCCCGGGCTGCTGACCCGAGGGAGACACGGTTCAGCGGCAGCCCGTCCTCCTGAGCCCGGATCTGCACCGGGCACACCAGCCGGGATGGCCAGTCTACTCAACATCATGAAAGTCAAGTTTGGAGCCCTCTGGGAGCAACTCGAGGGCAGAGGCGACAGGCCCTGGCTTTGGAGCAGACACACCTGGGTTCAAATCCTGATGCCGCATCCATTAGTGGGTTGCCTGGGGCACATCTTGTCACCTCTTTGAGCTTAACTTTCCATATTGGAAAATAGGGGTGCCATGGCTTCATCGGGGTGGGGTGCCGGTTATGAGAAGTGATGCACGGCTTGGTGCTGAGCATATTCCAGAAACGAGCACTGGGAAGAAAAGCAAACACTGACTACTGCTGCTTCCTGTATCGGGCAAGGGGCCGGGCAGGACCCTCCGTTCTGAGGGTTTGAACCCGCTGCACACAGCCTCAGAGCTGGAGCACCGGGCCAGGCGTCTTGATGGCAATGCCCTCCCTCCTCCACCACCTGCAGGACTGGCGCCTGGGACGGTACCTGTGGCTTGCAGCTCTCACGCCCTGTGCCAGGTGCCTTCCCCGGCTCACTCTCCTCACAGAGCCCACGCCACCCAAAACAGCAAACTCCACACTCCCAGCCCCTTGGCCCATTGCGCTCACTGCTACCTGACGTTCTGAACCTAGCTCTAGGAGGTGCTCACTATTTGCCTAAATGAATGCGTCTCCAAGTCACCTGCCTTCAGGGGCACGAGCACGCCAGTGCTGCATTTTATATTTTATGTGGGCTCTGGCCCCACTGGATGAGGCGGGAGCCCTGGCAGGTGCGGGCGCAGCACAGGCTGATGACTGTTTCCAGTGCCTCGTGCCTACCCCACCCGTCTGCAAGGCCAAAGCCCCCAGAGGTCCTTGCCCTGGTGAGTCAGCTCCCTGTGGACTCTGGAACCATCAGGATTCCAGAGGAAGGAGGCAGGTGGGTGGGGAGTGGGGCGGGCAGGGGTGTCCAGGGAGGTGGGACATGCACTGGCTGGAGGTCTCCCCGAGCATGCCGCCACTCCCCGCAGCGGGAGGTAGGACACTCTGGCCCATGAAGCTCCTGTGCCCTGGCTGCCAGCCCTGTTCCCAGATAGTCCTGTCCCCCGGGACACGTCTGCCTGCCCTGGGCCCCAGACCCCCACCTCCCCGGAGGAAGCCTGCTCCTGACCCTGCCACTGTCATCCCTCCAGGTTACACCTGTACCCTTGAAAAGGGTTGGGGGTGATACGACTCTACCCCTTGCCCCTCAGAATGCCCCAGACAACCTGGCAAACCCCCCAAAACCCAGGGGCCTCGCCACCTGCCCTTCCCTCCTTTCCCTTTTCCCTCTGCCTGCGGCTGGCCACTTCGGGTAATAAGTAACTGCCTATCCTTGGGGCCTGCGGTTCTGACCATAAGGGACTGTTAAGCCTAGCCATTTATCATTAAATATAATTTGTTTAAGATGACCAAGTGATTAAGCTGTAAGCCTCTCCACTAATTAAAAAAGAAAGGCCCGGGGGAACTAGGAGGTGGTATTAATTCTGTGCCCAGGGCGGCAGCTTCTCTACTCCTTGCCTGTTTGGTACAAGCCACCCCTTCCTACCCAGGCCAGGCCCAAGGAGCCCGGCCGAGGAGGTGGTCTTTCCATCCACCCGTGGCCGCCCATCGATCTTGCCCCATCCTTCCCTACAAAGCTCCCTACAGGATCCTCCTGAGAGCCAAGCACCTGTCCCCAAATCCTTCCTTATTGTCTGACTCTAACCTAAATCCCTCCGGCTGCAGTCCAAGCCCATTTCCTTTGGTTCAGTCTCCGGCTGGAGCCAGACAACAGCTGGCCTCCATCCTTTCTGGAATAAATTGTACAAGGAGCTACCAGCAAACCAGCATAGACATCTTGGTATGGATGGCACTCTTGGCAGGGTGGGAGGGCTTTCTGCCTCCATGCCCCCCAAATCCCAGACTCAAACCCCACCAGGAGACTGAGTCACAGTCAGAGATAAGAGCCAAGACCCAGATGCTCGTCGACCTTGAAAACACTGGGCAGGAGGCGAGGGGAGTTTTGTCCTTAAAGTCCGGACTCTCTGACAGATCTCAGAACACGCCGCTTCTACCAGGGGCACTGGCTGCCAAGACCCCCATTGGGAGGTCACGAAGACGTGACCTTGGGGTACAAAGAGGACCCCCAAATAGAGTGAAAAGGAGGGTGAGCCTAGCACCTGTAGCTGGCAACCCCAGCCACTGCACAGCTCTGCCCTCGGTGCCCAGGTATGTCAGGAGGCAGAGGGCCAGCCGGGCACAGCTGTCACTGCCTCTCCTGCCTCCCGCATGGGTGGCCCCCCGCCCACCTCCCAGCCCCGGCCAACTGGGCGTGGGATGTGACTGGGGTTAAGACACAGAGCTGTTTTGTGCTGAAGGTATGGAAAACCACCACCAGGCCCTCCGAGCACAGAGAGGCTGCGCTAGGTGAGGGGTGGGGTGGGGGTTGGAAAAACCTCCTACTCCTCTAACCTGGGGCCCAGAACCAGAGACAGGCC